TTTGCAAAGTTTGCACGCTCAAATTGTTAGTAATAATGATCGAGGAAACGTTTCTGGTTGCTTAACAATTAAGCAATGCATGTAACTTGAACCGACTATTAGAAACAATTGCTTACAATCATTTTAGTTCAAACTTAAAGCAATTAAACCGTAAACTATCTTACTCATAAGTGAGAAAGTTTGGATGAATGTATAGATGTTTTTGAACACGTAACACCATAGCAATTTAACGGATCATGATGGTTTTTTAACATAGATTAATAATCTATGAAAATTTTCTGAAAAAAAATCTACCTAACACTCCTCATCTCTAAGTAATCTTGTTCATTAGGACGTTTATAAATATTTATTACATACATACATATATATAACATAGATATTCATACATATATAACATGTATTATTTATTCTCATTCAAGTAGTTAGTTTTATTGTTACATCTTATTTTATTTACTTTATATCATCTTGCATGTTTATTTTTCATTCATAAATTATACCGAAACGCCGTAAGCGTAAGTTTTTAGTAATTGATATATGAAAAGATTTTTCCTGCTGTTGTCGATGCCCACGATACAGGCATTGCCTAGTGTGGGCATCACCAGATTAATCATATATGAAACACAATTTGTATTTTTCTTTTAATTGGTATAACTGTAATTGTAATTGTAAATCTCTTATTTTTCAATAAAATTATTTCTATTTCTATTCTATTTCTATCTAGAGTAACGCAATTGGTTACTCCATTTTTTTTTAATTTCACCCGGATGAACCCGGGCAATAGTCAACAAATTATGTAACGGAATTAAACTTAAGGTATGCAACTTGTTTTTTCCAGGTGCTTGTAATAAAAACTTATGGTTATATTGTATCATCATCAACTTGCCCTTATCCCTTATGGAGGGTCGGCACAATATTTGCTGCTCTTCCATACATCTCTGTCAGCCGTCATACCTGAATCCACTCCTTTCTTAAGCATAACCTCTTTCACACAATCCATCCATACTTTTTTCGGTCTTCCTCTTCCGTTGTAGCCATCCATATTAATTCTTAACACTTTCTGGTCTATGTCCCCAACGTCTCGTCACATAATATGTCCATACCACGTTACGCGATGTTATGGTTACATTGTATATGTATTTTAATATGCTACATACATTTCTCACGTAATTTAAGTGCTTCTTGTGAAACTTGACAAAGTTATCATAATAAAGTCTCTCACTTAAACACTAAAACGTGGCAAAGTGACGTCCCTGTAGCTAAAATACAGCTTAAGAAGCACGTCGTCACTTCGTAAAGTAAGAATAGTTTCAAGTAAAACTTGATAGGAATGATTTTTAGTGCATTGAAATAATGCAAAATAAGGTGAAAAGGTAAACTGTTTTATGTTCTACAACCAAGAGTAATGTACTATTTTTTCTATTTACATTTCTTAGAAAATATCTACCAATTGTAGACAATCTATACTAATATCATAATGAGGAAAGATTTGTATATATTGATATAACTCAAAACTAAAAGCTGATTTCAAAAGTTATTTCACCATTAAAAAGCTACGTTATCTGTAAGGCCATATTTACCACTTTTTTAATATCGCGCGGATAAAGTCGGGAGCAACCGCTTGTTGAAATAAACGTAAAATTTCGCTACATCAGATTTATTCTCTACAATTTTCTTTCGGTAAAAACCGTTGTGATGACATTTCACACGGTACAAAACTTCTACAAATTGAGGGCAACAGCGTACTGTAATGATAAATTTACACGAGGGTGTAATCGGTAGAGCAGAACTTCAATTGTTAAAACATTAAGCCGAGATACAAAAGTAAGTCTTGACAGTAAGTTCAAACAATTGCAATACTGCATGATTTACTACTCTACCTCACAGTTCCGCTCTCGTGTGAATCTAGTGTAATGAAATATTCATAACATGACGCCAGCTAGTCACAGTGTTATTACGACTCAAACACACAGAGCACAAGTTTTGACAAATACATACAAAAAATCTCACCTCGAATTTCCATCACCGAAACAGGTATAAAAACATGTTTCAGCGAGCAAGTGATAGAGAGGGCTATGTTTTCTTTCACAATTTCACACATTTGTATGGAAAGTCGTTTTGTAGATATAATTACTAAGTACCAAACTTTAAATCTCATCTTTCATTCTAGATTCGTTTAGAACTAAATAGTCTTTTTAATGTAAAATTATTACAAAGGAGATCATTAGTGGAGAGTCTTTGTGACATTTTAAAAATGTTTCCGCGGACCGCTTGCGGTGATCTTGAAGCAGGAATAAATGTCAGAGTTGCCTTTTAAAGCTTTAATGGCTACGACGGAAGTTCTTCAAGCCCTAATTTCACGTAGATAAATGAGTGGAAATTACATTTTAAAGATGAATTTAAAATTTATTCAATGTACGTTTTGTACATAAAAAAGTATAATGTAATAAAAACAATTTTATTTTACCAACCAAATCTGATTCAGTGGATTTCGTAACAAAACATCTTTGTTTTTACAAAGTCTTTCAAACTTTTACACTTTGATTTATTGCTTACGTGATCTTTTAAGATAAACGGTTTTATCGAAGTTCGTTGTTTACAATTAAGATGAGTATCAATATGCGAAATAACTTTGGTACTCGATTTAGTACAATAAACAAAAAATAAACAGGGACATTTAAAAAGTGACTTAATTTCGAATATTTACAAACGAAATATAGCTTAAACAACATACAATCTAACCAACAGTTGTGCGAAATAAAAAAAAATATACTTAAAATCGTATAAAGACCTTCTGAAATAGGTTTATACAAATTTCGTGTACTAAATCAGCGTCACAATGTAGAGAGTTTCATACGTCAAGGGAATACGGAGATCTGATAGCCTGGCAAAACAACAATAGCCTTACGGTTAGAAGTACGAATTGCCTATTGAAATCGTTGGTTCGAATCCTAAGAAACATGACTAATTTAGTTTCAATAATTTTCTAATATTTCAAATTGAAAGATGGCGCACCTTATAGGGACTAGAGACTTCTTGAATAATGTAAATAGGTTACATTATTCTATGGCAATTAATTATTCTTACAGTTTTTCATTGATACTTTACAAAAGTCGAATATTTCTTATATTTACGCCGTTTTGTCCTGACATTTCATTAAAGAAAAACTGTTGTAAATAATACACACATAACGTTAAATAGAAAATAAAATGTATCTGTAATTAAGGAAACGATTTCAACCAACCAAACTAAGGCTCTTATAAATTCCGCTGTCGACGATAAGACGATTAATGTTTTCAAACAAACCTACAAATACATAACAAAACAAACACTAATATTACAAAGTGTTTGTTTGTCATGTCATGCGCGCTGAACACCAAACTAATTAATTTATGAGTTTTTATGTACAGACATTTGTATTGGTTTCTTGGGCATACAAATGTAATTGTTGATTAAATTTTGAAAAATCACATATTTACAATCGTTTCATATTCCCGTTTATTGTTGCGTGCAATAATTATTCAAAAATATACGCAGACAACATCGCAGACACGAGCTAGTATAAAATTAATTATAAATTCGTTAGGCCCGAAGCAATGGTGTAATTCATCTTAGAGAATACAATTACTCATCTTTATCACAATAGCAATAGCTTTACGAAATACAGATAATAAATATTTTTTTTTAATTATGACCGTAAATTAGAACGTTAAATGTAAAATGGCCAGATATGTCTACTTTCTTTTTTTTTTTTAAATAAACAGCCAGTACTTTGAATCAGTTAACGGTTTCAGTCTCTCAGCTTAAATAGCGTAATTAATGCGATTTAAATTTAGGATGCTTTCTTCTCCGTGTTTCAATCGTTTTATTTACAAGATTTTCCCGCTCGAGTTATAAACAGCAAGAAATGTGATTTCATTGCTCAGTTAATCAGATTATGTTAAATGTTACATTGAAATTTAGATATTTTAAATATCTGTTTTTACAAATTTAGTAGTAGTTAATTGAAGAGTTACTTTATCCAAAATTTAATTTATTTAAAATTTTGTGTCGCGCTTTGGGTAGTTGCGACAGCGAAGTAAGTAAAATTCCGATTTACACTAAAAAAATACAGATGTAAAAATTAGTGTCATAATAAATGTAAAATAGTTGCTCTTAATTTTCTATTTAGTGGCAAAACTCATAAATACACCAAGCAGTTGTTTATTTCGTTTATTTTATTTGTATAATATAACTATAAAATAAACTGGAGAGATTCCAACATCTTTTGTATTTTTTTAGTTGTAACATATATCTTAGTAATAAATTAAACAAAATTTATATCAGTGTTTGTGCCACGATGAATACAGTTTATTAGATATTTTCCAACCAAATGTTTCTTATGTTTGTCTTACTAGACGACATACAAGTTGTCTTTATTGAATTTTGCTTGCGACTCTGTGGACGTAAAATAGCCTATGTTACTCACCGATACTGTAACTTTTTAAAGGTGAAAGAATTTTTGAAATCGGCCCAGTAGTTTTTGAGATATTTCAATACATACAAAAACACAAATCTTTCCTATAGTATATAAACATAGATAGATATTGAATATGTTTCATTGTATGTGAGCAATGTAAAGATATTAATGAGTTGCAAATAATCCATAAGTAAACGAATTAAGTAGGAAACAGATAAAATACAAACAAGAATGTTGCAGAACTCGTTCATTAAATCTTGTTCTATTTCAATAGTCGCAGTGCACTAACATCTAACCAGGCAGTTTCGAGCAAATAATGATTTAAAATATTAACTTACTGAGTTATTAATGTTTTCGTTAGATTATACTTTATTAATTAAAGATAACGGATTAACTCGTGGAATTCAATGCAGGTGCCGACTAGTTTCAGACTCATCGTAGGTTATGGGGTGAGTAGATTAACTCACTATATTCCAACCCCTCGTTAACTGTCTAAATACACGAGTTAATCCGTTATTTCTAATTAACATACATCAGTGTTGTAAATAATTGCAGTTTTAAAGTGTTTTAATAATGATTTCATTATTAAAATCATCCAAAGCTAGACAATATCTTGTCGTCTTTATTGGTAAGTTAAAATGATATTTTTATTAGCTTTCGCCCTCGACTCCGTCCACGTGGTTTTAAAAGACAATAAAAGTGAGTAGCCTATGTGTCCTTCCAGACTACCCTCTACGTCTATAACAAATTTCATCGAAATCAGTTCAGCCGTTTAGGCTACAAACTGTAACAAACATCCATCCATCTAAACTTTTGCATTTATAATATTAGTAAGATTGAAATGCGAAAAATACTAGATTTTCTGAAATATACCTTTTCAGTGAATCTAACAATATTAACAACTGGCATGAGCTTAGCTTGGCCGTCACCAGTGCTTGTGAAGCTGCGTTCAATAGAAACGCCTCTGCATCGACGCATCACTGATGAAGAAGGTTCCTGGATAGTGTCCATTGGATCTCTTTGTATAACATTTGGTAAGTCATCGAAATCGTCATCTTAAATAAGTCGAATTGACTATGTAACGATGAACAACGAAAAGTAACAAGTATTCATGGGTCCAAAGATTTTAGGCACTTTAGTTTGAATTAGTTATTTATTAAATTTTTCACTCTATAAATGTAAATATTTCAGGTCTCAGTTTTCTAGGCATGTTACAAGATTGCATCGGAAGAAAATACTGTTTGATATTGACTTGTATTCCTAAGGTTTTAGTGAGCATTCTCTTCGTATTTGCAAAAGACATGTGGATGTTGATATTCGGTCGTGCTATAATTGGTAGTGCTGACTTTTACTTGCTCACTGTCGTTCCAGTTTATGCTTCAGAGATCGCTGATGTAAGGATTAAATTACACTAATACATACGTAGTTATTTTAAGTAAATAAAATTAAATTCAAAAAGGAAACTATTATTTTATTTTTAATTAGCTTTCGACCGAAACTTAGGGTGGAGTTAAGAAAAAAACAAAGTTAGCTTATGTGTTTTTCCAGTATGTTCTGCATGTATGCCAAATTTCATCGAGATCCGTTCAGCAGTTTAGGCCACAAACTCTAACAAACATTCATCCATCCATCTAAACTTTCCTATTTACGATATTAGTAAGATTATTGAATTTACACACAACCTTCACTGCCTATTTAAAATGTCAATTAATAATGATTTTTACAGAAAGACATTAGAGGTTCTTTGGGAACATTTTTGCAGATATTCTCATCTCTAGGCGTTGTTTTGACAATGTCAGTTGGTCCTTTCGTATCGTATACTACTTACAGTATAGTATTTGCTGCAATGAACTTATTCATGAGTATACCAATCTTATTTTTACCAGACAGCCCCTTCTTCTTGTATTCTAAAGGTATTTCATTGTTTTGTTATGTAATACAAATATGTAGTTTAAAAGTCACCGGCCCTTTGCCAAACATTTCAACAGATTCATATAAAATAGCTGGCAAATACACGATTCTATTTTATTTCTTCAAGGTTGTTTTATTTGATTTTTTAAGAAATGTTTCAACAAAATGATTTCCAACAATTTTCAGGAAAAAAAGACAAGGCTATTGATGTGTTGAAATTCCTTCGCGGTTCTGAAGAATTGGCTAAAGAAGAGATTTCCATGTACGATAAATCTTTAAACAATCAGAAAATAGAAATAAAATCGCTGTTAAAGGATAGAGTTTTTCTTAAAACTCTTGGGATATCGATCATTTTTGGTGCAACAACCCAAGTAACAGGTTTTAACGCTATATCGTTTTATTTGCAAACGATTTTGGAATCAACAAAGACTAATTTGATGCCAGAAATTGCGTCGATAATTATAAGTTTAATACAGCTGTTAGCAAGTTGTAGTTCAGCGTTTGTGATTGACAGGTTTCAGAGGAAGCGTATGTTAATAACATCATTTATTGGATTGTTGCTTGGTTTGGTAAGTTTAAAACTAAGTTTAGTTTTCCCCTTTCCACTCTTTTTGGACAGAGGAAATATCCTTTGTATGTGGGTCCCTTACTCTTTTCAAATTAATGCATCTGCAAAAGTGATGAATGCACCAATTACTTCGCAATTTTTGGTAAACAATGATGGCCCCTTACACATTTACGACCTTTTATTAAAAATAAAATCTGCATCTTTCATAATGTTTGAAAAGTTATTACAATATAATAGTTTAATGTTTTAAAGTACTTTTATATTTTTAATTGCATCAAGTTTGTTGTTATAATAATCCGATCTTTTAATATTTTATTATTAGATTGGAATGGGCGCATTCTTTAAAATACGAGAGAACACGCAAGAAGTTACTGGATTCATGAACTATTTACCGCTAATATCCCTGATACTCGTTGTCTATTGCTACAGTGCAGGTAATGCTTTAATCTCAATAAACTCTTTCACACACAACTGTTATATTACACACAGCTTATATGGAGGTGCGGACACTACTCGATTTTTAGTTGTGCAAAAATAGCTAAAACGGCTGCAAAACAATCGACGATCGCAAAGCAGTTATGCGATTATTCAATCAAAGGTCTAAACTCTGTGCCGGCTCTAACACTTAACTGCCACATTCAATGTTGTCTAATAGCCACGAAGAAAGGGAATCCCTTAGTTAATAAGTCACAGTAATCTTCACTTAGTGTCTGCTGAATCATTCTTAGTGTGCCAGTACGTTATTTTTTATTCAATAACTTTACAAGTATTCTAAGATTAATGGTTGTAACACATCGATGACTAGGGATGGTTTTAGGCGTATCAAGCATCAACATAAATGATTGTATTTTTATTTCTAAGACAAATACGAAATAATTGCAATAAATTTTCTTTTTGTTACATAGGACATTTTATTTCATTATTTTCAGGAATCGGCTCCTTATTTTGGGTGGTAATCGCAGAGTTATTCGACGGGCCAGCGCGAGCAGTCGGTGTTACTATCTGCATAATAGTGACGTCATTCGGGATCTTTCTCACCACGAAGTATTTTGCTACCCTCACCACTGCTATAGGACCATCGATGACGTATTGGTTTTTCGGAATCGCTTGTGCATTTAGTGCATTATTTATTTATTACTGTGTACCAGAGACGAAAGGAAAAAGTTTTAAAGAAATACAGATGGCGCTAGGTGCAAAAGTCGGCATGTAATAATACTTACATGGGACGAAAACAAAGAAGATTTTATTAAATACATCAATGACTTTTTAATAAAAAAATTATACACTTTATATATAACTAGCTGTTCCCGTGCGACTTCATCCGCTTGAAATAATGAAAATTTTATTTTATTGTTTACATTTGTCAAATTATCAATTACAAATGTCAAAATGACATGATATGATGACAATCTTGCTTCCTTGACGTTGGCAGCAACTTATGGTCTCTTTCCCACATTTTTATCCAAAACATTTACCCCTTAAGTTTAATGGCGTGAAAACATATAGCCTCAAGCGTGACGTAAGTGTAGGGCTTATTAAAAAAATAATTATTCAAAAATATGCTGTAATTGCTGACATCTTAGGCAACAAAGAAGTGTGTGTTTACGCTTTATTATAATAGTATAGATCTCTGGCAAGTTTTGTCTATGGTTTACGTTTATTATAATTTTCATCTCGTTTTATTTTTTGTTTATAAGCAGTATCAGTTGCGGGACCTTAATAATACTCGTCAATTTATCCGTCAATCAACATCCTTTGAGGTCTAACAGCGTCGTAATTGAATTGAGTCTCCCCTTCGCATAACGTTATCGATGTTTATCTCAATTTACCTCACCAAATACGGTTAGGTTTAACCAATGCTTGTACCTGGAAATAAAGCTTTCAGGAGAAAATTATTTTATTATAACATGTTTCAGTAGAACCTCATGACTATACAAGTCTAAATTATGTACTGGATTGCACTCTGAGTCCACCTTTGTGCAGATTCTGTATATTAAACTTAAGGTTGCCCTGAATAACCAATCAACTTAGTATGTTCTAGCAAAAGCTAGAGCTGGTAAGAGATGGAGCGCGGTAGGGCGACCGCCCAGGACTGTAGTCAGTAATGAACGCCACAGGTGTGTGAATCACATGTAAAAATCCCAATGCTTTATTCAAAAAGAGCGCGGTAGAATCCTCACATAGATTACCGGTAGCGCTAAAACGGCACTAACCACACTATATAATTAACTATTTCATACGATTTATAATTTGTTTTGTCTATCAACGTTTGATAATATTACAATCCGATGTTACCTAATTATTGCTCAAAGATCTGTCTAAATAATGTAATCCTATAACGTAATATCAAATAATTTTAACGAATCTATTAAATATTCCTTTTCATTTAGAAGTATTTCAATTAAGCCTTCTTATGTAACAAGAAAACGTTCCAAAGTTTCCATAAGTCGTTTGAAAGCCTTGTTTATAAATCTTTAGCCTATTCGTGAATCCGATACTGAGATAGGTTTAAACGTTTAAATTTAATTAAATCCAGACAGATCGTGTTACAATATTTAAGTCAATAAATATAATCTTACTAATCTTACTATTATTATAAATGAGAAAGTTTAAATGGACGGATGGATGGATGTTTGTTGGAATTTGTAGCCTAAACGGCTGAACGGATATTGATGAAATTTGGCATAGATGTAAAGGATATCTGGAAGAACACATAGGCTACTTTCTATTTTTTAATTTCACGCGGACAGTATCGCGGTTGATAGTTAGTAAACTATAACAGTCTAATTTTTTAAATGAAAATAAATTTCACATTACGTTATTCTGAAAATTATATTAAAATTAGAACGTACAAAAAATCTCATTATAACTTTATCCGTGGTATTTTTAAAATTTAATCACAAAGACGAAACTCTGCTAATAAAATTATTTATGGCCAATTCGGAAGATTAAAAGATCACCTTCAAAGTTTTATTAAATATTACTTAAGAACTTCGATTCGGCGATTTTTTAATACCTAAGCTCTGATATTTATTATTCCATTTCACGTCACAGAGATAGTTTGCGAGATTTGAAACTTTTTAACGAGAAAGAAAGAGAAGAAATTTAGACGTGAAAGGAACTCATCTAGTTTACTTTAATAAGTATTTTGATTCACATTACAAAGTTAATCCACTTAGTGGAGCCACTATGTTTATTATTTAACCTTGATTCTCTTCCAAAATCAGACGCATATATCTAACGATGTTATAAGTACTGTTATACCTTAACATCTAGTCAACCCTGTTTTAAACCTGCATATAAATCGAAATGTACTTTACACGTAGGACTGTAGCAAAATAGATATACATAAAACTCAATTAGTCTGGGGTTAATTAGGCGAGAAATAAATTTCGTTTGTGTCTTGGCGCTAATTACTACAACTTAAGTCTGCAAGGAGTTTCATAACAAGATTTTTTGTGTTTTAGTTAATATAGCCAGTTTTCTAGGTATCTAAATAGAACCGCGTGCTTGTTAGTCATTTTGTATTCGCTGTCAGTATGGTAACAGACAGGAATGACAGCATTTTATATTTTATTCCCGCGTTACAACATTTTTCGCTTGAATTTTTGATCGTAAAAGCTTTTACCGACACCGTCCGCCGGATGGAACGTCCCTGTTAAAGCTCGCTGTCGTTAATATCACCTTTGTTCGATATTAATGTTTAAAAGGTTGAATTTTATTAAAAACTATCAGAACACGGAATGAGTTCAAACATTGTGTAATGTCCTAAGACCACTGTTCAAAATTCATCCAAATCTTTTCATTCGTTTAGGAAAAATTTTATATTCGTTACACAAGATATTTTATCATAATGTACGCTGGTATGAATTTTTAAATATGTACTAATATAATTATGTGAAAATATTTCCCTGCATCATCCGCATTGTTGTAAAAGTTATGCGGTTTTATTTGTGCCAAGCCGCAGCTCGTCAAAGCGCCCGCCTGTGGTTACATCTTGTCTGTCAGCAAATGCTAAATCTGTTAAGATTATCATATTGCGTCTATTATTTTATACATAAATTTGTTTAATTACTACATTTAATTGGTTCTGTTCGGCAGATTAGGCTACAAACTTCAACAAACATCCATCCATCCAGCCAAACTTTAGTTACTAATATTATAACTCGCATTTATAATATTAGTCAGAACTAAGAGTAGTAAAATTATCATCGATGTATAATAAATGTTTGCTCTAAAAAATGTTCGTGAAATTAGTCTAGCAGACTATTTACTCATACACTCTCATACAAATCTGTCTCTAAGTGACCAATTGCCCACTCTAAGTACTGAAATACGTCCATGTAATCTAAATCATTTCCATAGAAATATAAAATTTAGTTCCTAACCTCAATTTCCTATATCTTCAAGCTTTATTTTAGCAGACAAGCTATCGTTTAATTATATTTGTTGCTCCATCTATTCATTAAGAGGATATGCTCCGTGTAAACCTGTAAAGTGATTTATTATGCGAGTTAGTTTAGCAGATGCATCCCTTTTACATACTACTGCGATATGATATATAAAAAAATATGTATGTAAACTAGCTGTTGCTCGCAACTTCGTTCGCGTGAAATTGAAAATTGGTTTAGTAGTTTTTGAGTTATTACAATACATACAAAAATACAAATCTTTCCTCTTTATAATGTTAGTATAGATAGAGAGTGAGCAAGTGGAACTCGTTAAAAAACCTTGATATTATTCTTTTTTCTCGTTGGGAAACCCTGATTTTATCTGACTGAGTTGCCACTGTTTGCCTTGAAGAGACATTTATTGATTCACCGGACTTAAGGTGGCCGAGCGCAGATGGCGTTTAGCCTAAACCTCGTTTATAGAATAAGTAAGAAGTATGATGTAAATAATATTATCTTTGTAATAATCATAAACTTATTTGTATCATCAATCGAACGTTCAGAAACGTTTCAAAATGTAGACAATAAATGTGTCAATATGTTCTCATTTCTATTTATTACCTTTGTTTTATTTTGTGGTATAAATAAAAAACACAGATTATCTTAATATTTTATTTGCACTTATACACATTTTGTATGATTTTAGCTGTCTATTATAAAAATAAGATATCTATACTAACATACGTAGTTACTAATTCAGACCCATATGAAACTAAAATTAAATCAAATTTGATAATATTTAAAGAAGAAGGCATCTTCGGATCTATTTAACAGATTTTCTTAATCTATCAAAAACTTAAACTAAAACATGAAGTTTATTTTAATCTTAAATTACGAACATGTTAACACTTTTCTTATTATTTAGAGAATTTTATATTCCTCTAATATCCTTGTACATTTCAAACGATTTAAATTACAAAATTGGTGAACTGCAATGTTACATAATGATTTTAGAGTTTTTAATAAAAAAAAACTAATTAACATTGCAATAGATACATTTTTAATTATCTCTTAACATTATTAAAAAATACAATATTTAGGTAATTACATCATACAGTTACACAATCGATACTAAACAGTACTATAACTTAGTTTTACAAATAACTTTAAGTTTATGTAGATACCATCCTTACATTATGATGAAAAAATCACAAAACATCTGAGGCTCTATCTCAAGTAACAATACCATTCTAACCTAAAAATACCAACTTTAATTGATTAAACAATTTTTTACTACTAAATTCTAATTTTAAATCAACCTTAACTAAAAGAACCTTATTATGTACATTTATTTTTTCTCACTGGCAATAATTTGTCCATTTCAGTCAGTGTTGCCAACATAACACAATCACGTCACATTACGTCATAGTGACGTCACACGTGTTAATTCTGCTATTTTTTTCTCGGCTTAGAGCCGTCAAGTGATTCTCAAATATTGTTCATATCGTATAGAACTTGGGCAATCGTTCTCGAAGCTTCCACCGTGCTCAGCGCAATCGACGCAAGATGCGCTTCGTACGGACGCAGTTGTCTGTAGAAAACCAAAAATTTTACACATATACACCATAATGAAGAGATTTTTGCAACTAAAAATAATATTAATCAATTCAACCTTATGACGTCATACATTTAGGAGACCAGAGGTCACTTGCCATCCCCGTCTTTACTAGAGAATTGAAAATTTAGTAGATAGATAGATTATAAAATACTTAGGCCCTGTCCCACCACTGGCTGATAGAGGCTCAGATAGCTAAAAATTATGTCACTTTCAGATAAGGGAAACAAAATCCGATATTTCCATCACATATTTTACATTTTGGATTGTTATCAGACAATTTACAATTAGGTGGGACAGGCCCTTAGAATTACTAAAATATATGGTATATAACCAAAATAGATCCATTGATACAACTCAAAAAATATGTTATTTTGTTTAAAAACTTAACATGTAGATATAGAATAAGACAGTTTTAAAAACTTACCGCCTCCCTGTATTGGAGTAAATCACAATATTCCTTAGAATCAAGGCAGCTGTCAACCGTATGCTCTTAGTGACAGGACCTTCGTTCTCATCCTAAACAACACACACGTTATGTATATATAGCTATAAATAACACACATAGACATGCATTAACAAAGCACACATACTATAAACATGCGCTAAGGGAAATTCTAATAAAATTGATATAGTTTAAACTAAATTAATTAATTATCAAACTTAATAAATGGGAACATGTGTCTATTATTGCAATACACACCTTATTCTTCAGTTCAGAAAACATAGTAATCCAAAAAATTAATTAGCCATTAACAAAATTATAGCAGATAAAAATATTTGAAACATTAATTCCTACTGCATTGAATATCTTAAAATAAATGACAAATAAAGCAAACAAATAAATAACAATTAAACCAGACAGTAACGAAAGGACACAAAAATGAACACAAAAGCACATAAAATTCTCTGCGCACTCAACTATTTGATAATATTTTTTTCTTTAATTACAAATATAAGTACATAAGTACAATTAAAAAGATCAAGTAGATACATACTTCAGTCTTTCAATCATTACGTTGATACTCTTACAAGAGAAGTTATCTAAAATATAGTCATTTCACTCACACCTACAGCTATTAGCATTTAAAATTTCTAGATCACTCTATCTCTTGCGCTCTATATCTATCTCTGTCTAAGCATGAAATCTCTAATACAAAAGTTGAGTGCACATCGATTGTAATCGTGTATCTCACCAATTGCTCCGGCGTGCGACTGAGCTCGGCCCTGTGCTGCGCGCACACAAACACACGGTTAGTGGCACGGTGCGGTTAGTGACGCTATCACTACCCGGGCACAATAACATGATACATGACATACATTCCATATCACTTTAATTACGATTTTAACTTTAGAAACCGACTTGATTAAACGTGAAGAAATCGTTTAGTCAATTTTTATTTCATGTAATGTAGTCCTTTATAAAGCAACTGATAGTTTTTTACATAAAACGGATGTAACTTAACGAGTCATGTCTCGTTATTGTACACGAGTAGCGTGTGGTGCAATTTTCATGAATGCAAACTTTAATGTAGACATTTGACATTTGTTGATAATTTTTATAATTATGTAGCTATCATAAAGCTAACCATTACTCTTCTGTTTTGTTTTATAACAACAAATAAGCATATCTCCCTTAAATACCAATTGCTAGGCAAAGGCACGTTTAGTTCACTTTTATGTAAAAAGTGGGGGTTAAAATATATATATTCCAAATTATTCGACATCGCTATAGTAACACGGTGAGTTTAGAAAATCTATCTAATTAATTTTAATCTTTATAAGACTGTATTAAAAATATGTTTATATTATCAATATAAATAATTAAACTAAATTCATAATCTCTAAATAGAATATTTTAGATAGACCATAAACAACTTAGTCAATAAAATATGTAAATATTCAATTTTTCATTGAATTCCACAACACAGCATGTTTCCTATCAACTTACCATCAATTCTCTAGGGTT